ATCCTCCTAGGTCTAGGGAAAGGACAAAGGACTGCCTCTATGTGAGGCTCTGCTCTCCTGAATGAAAGCAAACTCGCAAAGCTCAGCTCAGCTTCCATCTTTCCACTCACCTCTAGCTAGTGACACATCTGTCAAGTTCTTGGGACTCCTGAACCTACCACTTCACTTCAGGCTGTAACCTTCAGTCTTCCTACAGAGCTCTACCAAGCCTGCTGCTCTCTCTCCTAAAGGTTCCCAGGCCTCTGTCTCCAGAAGAGACCTCATTCATGAAGCCCAGGAGTGTCTGCAACCACCTTCTGGGCTTCAAGCATATCCAGCCTGCTGAGTCCCACCCTGCCTTACTTTTCCCCGTCCTTACCACCCTTTCCCTCTTCTTCTCCTTCTCAGTTAGTGGGCTTCCCACCCTGTCCTTACTTTTCCCTGTCCTTACCACCCTTTCCCTCTTCTCCTTCCCAGTTAGTGAGCCTCATGAGTCATCTTCAACCTCCCCCTCTGTTTCTATCCATTCAACCCCTGAAATTCCTTAAATCTGCTCTTCTTTGCCTTCCCCACTGCCTCTGCCTGCGCACATCCTAGGTTCTCTCAAATAGCCTTGGGAAATAAATTCCAGCTCATCCTTACCATGGCAACAGAGTGGCCTTAGCAAAGCAAATGCTTTTCTCTGTCATTAAAGTCCTTCAGGGCCTTACATCTTATTTACAATAAAGATCAAAGTTATTTGGCCCTGACTTCTAACTGTGTATGTTTGTCTGGGAAGGTCTCTTTGATTTTTCAAGTACCTTTGTAATGAAGCATCTATAAGATAAGTCCTTCCCTTGCTGATAATAGCTATCATTTATAATGTCTCTTCAATGTATTTTTGTCCAAAGATCTGTCCCCACCTCTTGCAGCCAGGTTAAAGAAGAAATACAAATGATGTGGGAGACTCAGTTCCCTGTCAAATGATAGAATGATAGCAATCATGAGTCACCTGACTCAACCTGTTAATTTGTTTACTATGAATGTTTAAAATATATATGAAAAATATATTTAAAAATATATTTTTCACTGTAGTGAAATAAGTATAAAAATTCAGAGTGAGCACTTGGAAATGGGTACAGAAATTTGACAGGGTAATTTCACGTCTGTTGAGTCAAATAATAAAAGACCCGGGCTTGTGTTCTGTGTGTCTGATATTTTACTTCATTTTCCAGTAATTCATTTTCATTGTATTTCATAAAGGCAAAGAAAAACCCATCCTTTACTAAATATAGTTTGAAAAGCACTATAAAAGGTATTATTATTTTTGAAATTTTGCTTAAGAACCACTAAATTTCTAACGATAAACTAGTCATAAGTCATTATTTGAGGAACACTGGCACCAAGCTTTCAGGCCTAATCAGCACACCTACTGGCTGCAGAACAAGTTTGTTTTTGGACTGAGTCACTTGGTGATCTCGTCAGAGACACTTTCCTTCTGATACTATTGTAGGCCACTGAATTAAAAAGAAATATTGTAGGCAGTCAGACAGGGCTGGCCCTCAACGAGATAGCATGGAAGACAAGATACTTTGCAACTGTAAGAGGGACAGACACTCCCGCTGTGCGCCAGACATAAAGAGCAAAGATCTAACAAATGCTCACTACCCTAAAGAAAAGCACATGGGATTGAGCATCACTTTGAGGAAGCCAGGAAGAGTTACTAATCCAACCACTACTGGCTACTGGATAAACTCCTGTTCTATTGTCGTGCCTGCTTGCTACGTGACTCTCTTCTCCATTTAGTCCTGGATTTAATCAATTTTACTGGAGCAATGGTGCTTGGAATCTTATTGGTTGACAATAGTTTTGTCTCACCTCATGCCCACCTAAGCAAGCTGCCATTTTCTCCACCTCAGACTTGTGTGGTTTTGCCCTATAAAAATACCTGGAAGAGACAACTTACTGGGCAACCCGCTCTGGTCTCCTTTCTGTCCCTCTCTCAGACAGAAGCTTTCTTTCCCTGATAAATATTCTGCTCTTAACCTCCTTTTGTTCCTAAAATTCATTCTTTGGTTTTAGAGAACACGAATTTGACCCAGGTACCTCTCAGGTCAGGGGTTTCTTTCCCCTATGTCAATACAACATCAACATTCTTGTTGTTCCCTGAAAGTTCTGGAAAGTATAGCTATGTGGTATAACCTTTAGTAATCAGTGCAGTAGTCTTACAAAGGGAAAGATGATACGTTTCTGATTTCTGAATCAGAAATTACCTTCTGAGATCAATGACTATTGGTTTGAACATGGTAAAAAGGTAGAAGTAAGGGGGGAAAATTCTGCAGGCGTTGCTTCAATAGCAACATCCAGAATGCAGAAGGTGTGGGAACCGGTTCTCCTCACACACAGAGTGGGGACTCAGTGGGCACTTTACAGAATAAACATGCCTTCTCTAAGGTTCTGAGGGTGTGGCGAGCTTGGTCTAGCTGTACCTGGATGTTTTCCATGCTAAAGTCCAGAATGCTGTTCCCCTCAGACATCCAGCACCAAGGAACACATGGGAGACTGAAACCTTTGGGCTAGTTCGGCATTCAAAGTTTCCTGTGGCCTTTTGGAATGATTGTGAGGATGGCTCTGGGCTAGGGAAGAACCATTGCCAAAGCCCGTTAGCTACCTCTGCCAGGGTGAGGCAAGAAGGCAAAACCAGGACGAGAGCTGGTTATTGCTCTCTTGCATCTAGCCTAAAAGATGCAGACCCCTGAACCTTTCATTTCAACAGAAAGGCTAAATTACGATCATGACTTTTTTTGCTTTGGGAATAGTAAAAAGGAAACAGACATTAAGAATAGCATTGCTAGGTAATCTCATTCTAACTTTGTAATCTGTTATGTTCTTCTGATTATTTTATTTTATTTTATTTCATTTTATTTTATGGCAGCTGCCTCTTGACCCAGAGTCCATAAAGCGACTTTATGTACTTCCTACTACCCAGCATCTTCAGAACAAGATGCTCAAACTTCAACAAGAAGCCCAGCTACTTCTCCCAGCCCTTCCATTTTTAGATCCTCCTAGCTTCTGAGGCTTTTTCCTTCCTCAGTGATCAAGACCACTGATGAAGAGATTCTATTCCTGTTTTATAGTCACAGCTGTCCCTGTGTTAGAGCTCTTAGCCCAAGTGCTTTGCTAGTAGTATAGAAGAAGCTAGACGTATACCACATCAGTAAAATATGCTTACCAGGTTCAGGGTCCCGGGTTCAAACCCCAGCACTGCCAAAAGAAAAAGGTCAGCGGTACTAATAATCTCACATGACCCCTCCCCCTTTGATTTCTAGTGCAATTTAACAAGTACTTCAACTGAAATTTAGCATGTCCTTTGATTACAGAAGTAGGAAATAAACTTCAGAAACACTAGTAGTACTTGTGATCTTTCTACTAGTGGGATGATATCTCCATTATTTCATTACAATTTTATTACTGGTGTAGTGAAATAATATTTACACTCATCGTTTGAAAGCATATTGTAGATTTGTTATTTGACTTTTAAGTAATGTAGCATGATGACATTACTGTATTACCACGGCATAAACTGGTTTTTAAAATGCTATAATAATTGCATTCCAGTGTAGTTGGTTTCCTTTGCAATCTTGTGCATTTTATCATATGCACTTATAAATATTGTTCTGCAAGGGTGTTGATAGGTCCATCACTACCAAAAGGGTTCACAGAACAAAAGAGATAGACCTCCAGTTTTCAAAGGACAAGTATTTAACTGTCTCAGTTACTGTTGTCTCATTGCTGGGACAAATACCCAACCACCCAAAATGAAGGAAGGAAAGGCTTAGTTAGCTCACAATCAGTGGAGGTTTCAGTCCATACTCAGAGCAGCACAAGGCAGAGAGCAACCTTTCATGGCAAAGAGCAAGAGAGCAAAGGGAGGAGGGGCAGCAGCTCAGGCAGCTAGCTAGCCTTTCTCCCCTTCTTATACTGTAATGCAAATTACCTGCCCCAGGGCAGGTGCAGCATCCACACCCACAATAATCAATCACAAACTCCAGAAGCCGCCATGACTGCATGAGGCTTTGGGGGACACTTAGACACAAACCATAACATTAACTATCTGTCTACCACATAGTACAATCTAATAGCCCCTAGGACCAAGCTAGAGG